TTTTAATTGACCATCGGCTACTTGGCACGTTACGTTTTTTACTATTTTTTAACCTTACTCTAAATATCCATGTTTCTATATGTTACCCATTAGTACATGTACTAATGGAATTGTGCTCAAAAACATGTATATTTAGAGTAAGGTTAAACAATAGCAAAAAACGTAACATGCCAAGTAGCCAATGGTCAATTAAAAAGATAAATTTAATTACGTCAGGGTTGGATTATTGTTTTTTAACCATCTATAAGACTATCGTACCTTGGTTGTTTTTTCCTTTGTTGGTATTAGAGGATTTTTATTAAAAAAATGTGACATGTATTCCTGTATACATTAATTCTTAAAAGTATTTTTCACCTTTCTTACAAAAAAACACGTTTTCATAAGTATAGTTTAGAATCTGGTTATTCAATATTTTGAATAAGAATGCTTCAAAAATAGGCTTATAAAAACAAATGTATCAGACTAATAATAATATATTCAACCTAGGCATCGTTAATAACTTTATTAAAAATAAAATAAAAGATAAAAATAAATTTCTTTAGATATTAATTCAACATTGTTGTAAACTGTTGTAACTTATTTTCGAAAAAATTAATTTTTTCGAATTTTACAGCTATCACTTCCTGGCAACAAATTTTTTTTTCGTTTGATTTTTAGCCTCTGTGGACTTCAAAGAATAGGAAAACGTTGAGAGGTATCCTGGAGGGAGGGAGGGGGAGTTTGTTTTTAGTGCAACCTAATGGACATATGTATAGATTTTTTTTTAACAAATTTTATAGTATGGAGTTTAATTTGAAATAATAGTTTTTTATTATTGTATATTTGCATAAATTATTTATGTTTGAAACTAGCATAAAATAAAAGATTTTTCTTCAATTTCAACTTTTTCCTAAAACTAAAGTCCGCTGCATGGACTATTTTTATTTTATGCTAGTTTCAAACATGAAAAAAATCTTTTATTTTATGCTAGTTTCAGACATAAAAAAAATCAGCTGCAAATATAATTATATAAACCAACTTTAAAGCTCCCAAAATATACCTATTTTATGTAATCAAAAATACTAATATCTCTATTTTTGTTTTATTTCTATAAATACATGTTCAAAAACATTTTTTTTTTCTTTATACAATCGTACTTGCTAACTAAATTGTTAAAAACAGTTCAAATATTCATTTTTATTTTGTTTTTATAAAATATTCATATATTTAACTAGATGAAAATACTTTAAAATTGCATATTTTGGTAAATTTAAAACCTATGTAAAATACCTAGTCCTCTATTAAAACATTATATTTATAGTAGAGGAAGACGGGGAACATTCGACCACTTAGCTGGTTTTTATTAATTTACAAATGATTTTTTACCAAAAACATTTAAATTTTTTTAGCATTACAAGTAATGGTCTTAAACCAACAAATTAAAAAGATAATGTATATAAAATATTGATTTTTGTTAAATCTACCACTGTTTTAAAAGTAAGCCTTAAAGTGGTCGAATGTACCTCAGCAGTGGGGTACATTCGACCACCTAGAGGGGTACTTTCAAACATATCATTATTAGCAAAATAATAAATCTATAAGATTCCTTTCTTATAAACGCTATATTGTACAATAAAAACTTTCCACAAAATATTTAAAAACAAATAGTAATAGCTGTTTTACAACAAGATTTGTGAAGTTATATCGAAATAAAAATGACGTTGCCGTTCTTTCTGTTTATGTTTAAGTCGCAGACTTTAAAAGCGTTTTTTTTCAGGTTGATGACTTTTCTTCTTTTATTATTTATTTTTTCTAAATAAATTTTTTCAATCTTTTCCTTTTCAGGAGTGTTAGCATATATCGTTGACTTGATTTCCTCTTTATTTATTTTGTCTTTGAGAAGCTTTAGGCAAGGGCCCCACATCTTCTTTTAATTTTTAGAGTTATTCTAGTGGTTGCAGAAGGAATGCGTTTCATTGGTAAATAAGTGGTAAATTATTTTGTAATGGTGTACCTCTTACCCCTAGAATTTCACTTGGTTCTCCCACTAGGGTTCTATTTGTGACATATCTGGGCATGAAATCTTTTTGCGGCTTGTGGTTCAGACAGTGAATTATTGAAAATACTAGTAATTTTTTCTAATACCACATTTTCATTTCTTTTATTTCTTTATGTTTTCGTTACATATTTTCGAGGCATCTAAAAGATAAGAGAAATAAACAATAATGGTATTTTCAAACACCGGTTGAATGTTCCCCAGCTAGGTAGGTCGAATGTATCCCACACTTGTTATATATAAACAAACGCTATTAAAAGCCGAAATCAATTTTTTAAAGTAAACCAAACACAAAGATTTTTAACTCAAGATATTAAACAATAAACAAAAAAAAAAGTTTAGGAGGTTAAAATTGAAAAAGAGACTCTCTGCAGGTTATTTAAAACATAAAAAAAATTACCATTTGCATCACCAATTAGATTTTCTTCTTTATAAGTACTAATACTAATAAAGTTGAATCGATACTTTTTTCCCTATTAACAGACAAAACATGGATAAAAATTTTAAGTGGTAATTTTTATCATATTGGGAGATATTTGAAAAGGTCGAATGTTTCCCATAGTCAAATGTTCCCCGTCTTCCCCTATATTTTCATATATATATTTTATAAAAGACGTCTTTTTTACGTCCGTGTCCACTGGGTACTGTCCACAGTTGCCAATTGGCAACCACGATCTTTTAGTAAGAACTGCTAAAGAAAAAACGAATTTTTTCCATTTTTTGAAGCCTTGTATTACGTTCGGTCATAGTTGTTTTTAAAAATAGGATTTACTCGATCACAAAACTGTTTAAAATGCTTAAAATAAGCGCATGCAGTTTGAGTCATAGTATCTTTTGCTCACCGCATTGAGTGACGCATTTGCTCTAAAAAAGATCCTTATTAAGATTAAGATTTAGTACATTTAGTTTACTGATTTTTTAATTTTAGTTAACAGAGTTGTATATATATATATAGTTGTTTTTAAAATGTTTTTTGGGCATTTTTTTTTGTCTCAAGGCTATAAAATCAAGTGAAAATTTAGAGGTTGCCATTTGGCATATTTGTACAAAGCGAGAATTTTTTGCTATTTTAGTCATTTTGGGTTTTTTTTTTACCCAGATATAATAAAGGAGTACAATGCATCAATGGGTGGGGTAGACCTATCAAATATGCTCATTTCCCTCTATCGAACATCAATGAAAACTACGCGATAGTACATCAAAAAAAATTTTCATTGCTTAGACATTGCTAAAGTGAATGGGTGGCTGCTTTACAGAAGATATCAAGATCAGCAATTGATACCAAGACGTCATCAACTTAACTTACTTCAGTTTAATACATCCATATCTGCAGCATTAAGAAATAAGGGTAAAATTGTAGAAAACAGTGTAGGTCGTCCAAAAATAGTAAGAGCTCCTAAACGTAAAATTCCAATTCCTCTACCTGGTAATGATAAAAGATTTAATTGTTTGTCGCACTGGTCTGAATTCTGTGAAAAGAAAAATAAACGTTGTAGCTGCAAAATTGGTTACAGTAGAGTGTAATGTGTTAAATGTAGTCTTTGTCTTTGTTTGAATAACAAAAAAAACTGTTTTCGTGAGTTTCATAACAAATGAAGAGAACAAAAAACCCAATAACCAACCTGGAACACCCGTCTTCAAATATATATATATATATATATATATATATATATATATATATATATATATATATATATATATATATATATATATATATATGTATATATATATATATATATATATATATATATATATATATATATATATATATATATATATATATATATATATATATTCCTGAAATTCTTGACTGAGCCACTTATGCGATATCTGAACAACAAAACCTTTAAATCAAAAACTGATTTTTAGATTTGGATTTAGCATTATTGATTTAGTAGAAAAACATCAAAATTTTAATTTTGTCAAAAAATCAAGTTTTTCAGACCATTGTGCCTCTGTGCGACCCCTAGTTAAAACTAAAAAATCAAAAAAAAAAAAAAAAAATTGTTCTTATTGAGAGATTAATAAATGATCTTAGTTTTGCATATTTTGAATTGTTATTTTTTTATAAACACGACATTTATGAACTAGAAAATTCTCGACCTCTTGCTTTTGGAATTATTGGTGTTTTTTACAGTTTCATAAAAATGATGCTATTGCTCTAGCGGTTTCCAATAATATTCATGTAAAGTCATTTAAAAGATATGTTGATGACTACTACTTTTAACTCTACTGAAGATGCAAAAAGCTTTTTAGTATTACTTAATAACCATGGTGTACTTAATAAAAATTTTCAGTAGACCATGAAAACTGAAAATGAAAATAACATGCTAAACTTTCTTGACTAACTATTTATTAACAATAAAACTGGTACGTACAATTTTATATAGCCATAACTAACGTCCAAATCAAATCTAACTCATGCCATGATCCAAAAATTATAAATGGAGTTTCAAAGGATTTGTTTATTGGGCATTATATTTATGCTCTGATAATAATATCAAGCAAAAGTTGTTACTTCTAATTGATGTTTTTTGGAGAAAATGGTTATTAAAAAAAAAAGGCTGGAAAATATTATAAAAACCACTAAAGAAAATTTACATAATAAAAAACAAAATATTGAAACTAACATTTACTCATTTCATTAAAAAATATTGTATCTTGACCGAATAATTAGCCCAAAGTTAGGAAAAGTTTTCAAAAAAGCAGGTTACACACCAGTCTTTAAATCACCAAAAAGTTTACAACATATTCTTACCACAAAAAATAAGCCTCTTCTTCCAATAAATTCTTACCCAGGTGTGTACAAACTTGAATGCTCCTGCAAAATGTTGTATCAGTGAATCAAAATTAAAAGTCAAAATTGAATTATTTTTAACATTCTTTAATTATCACATTAACATTTATGTGCAACTGTATGCTACAAATTTTTATGAACTTGAATATTTTTTTTTTTTTGGTTTAGATATGGTCGAAAAAACATTTTATTTTTAACTTGGTTTGGTTATCTATTTATTTCTTTTGCGGCAGCTTTTGTTAACAACATATGGGTTTTTGTCACCATTCAGTTTATAAATGGCATTTTTAAAGGTGGTGTGTTTGTAATCTTGTTTGTTTTGATAAATGAGTTACTTGGCCCAAAATACAAAATTTACTCTCATTTTCTCTGGTGTGCCTATACACTTGGGCTATGTTTGCTACCAGTTCAAGCATGGCTTATACAAAATTGGCGCATATTTATAATTTTGGTTTCTGCCCCATATCTAATATTGGTAGTTAGCTACAAGTAAGTTGATACTTCTATTTCCTTGTGCTTCGTTTTGTTAGCTTTTTGTTTAATGTTTTGTTAATTTTTATTTTCCTTACTGACTAGTATTTACTTAATTCTTAATTAAGTAAATACTATTAAATTTACTAATATAATTTTAATTCTTATTGAATATTTAATTCAATAAGAATTAAAAATGTTAAAAATTACAAATTTTAAGTATATGAGTTTATATGATAACCCAGGTAAGGATTTTTTTTTATAAAGATGCTCATTGTTGTTAGGTTTGTTAGTAGTGACATTGATAAAGCAGATGACCAGAAAAAACAAGAATACCGTTGAAATAATAAGGATAAATTATATCAGGGATGCAGAGTCCTAAAAGAACTTTAGCTTTATATCTTATTGTTAAACTCCGGGTTCAAAAATTTAATTGTTCCTCTAACCTCAAAGTCCTTATTTTATCCACAATAGTAGTCCATAATTTTTTTTCATATTTTTAAACTTACTGGATACCAAAAACTAGGAAGTAATCTCTTTGTGACTTTTAAATCTGAAGTCTTTTTTTATTTATATAATAATAATTTTTTTTTTTTTTTTGTATGTATTTAGGTGCTCCCAGAAGTCCTTACGGTCTTATCATAGAGCACCGCGGGTGAGCATTTAACAGGAAGTTTACGCCTCCTTCCGTACCAATGTCGCTTGTTGGGCTAGAGCTGGCATCGACCTCGGACCTCTGAGTTCTGAGCCAGAACTCTAACCACTGCGCCACGGCTGCTCATAATGATTTTTTTATTATTATATAATCCCTGATTTATATAATAATAATAATATCGATAATAACAATAATAATAATAAAAATAATAATTAGAGATCAAAGTGCCATCATTTACAACGATCACAATAGTGATGAAATAATTCAGAAGAACTGAGAAAGTTTACTTTAAGGTGGTACACCACTAAAAAGCACTTTTTCAATTTAAAATAGGAATAAAACCAAAAACTAATATTTTTCTGATTATAAATTTATAAAAAAAAATATTTGAAATGAAATTTTTTTCTAAAAGTTTTTTTTACATCCATAATGGCGGAAAAACTGCTTAAAAAATGCATAAAGTTCAATAACTTTGTGACGTGATATCTTCCGTTATATACATTTTCTGTAGTTCAAACTTAGTATATTGTTGCATTATAATGTTTTATTCCGGTTGACAGATGGATTTTTAATTTAAGGACATATTTTAGTTTTATTACGAATTATTAAAAAATATGCTTGAAACTCTAAGTAATTTAACTTAACATGTGAACTAATTTCTTTATTTAAAAATATTTAAGAAGAATTTTTTAAATCCCATCTGTTAACCGAATTTCTTGAGTATATTGAGTATACCCTGAAAATTTCAGGCAAAAATCATTACCCAATACAAAGATATTATGTTTCAAAGTTACCCTAGTATTACAAAAATGAAAAACTGTAAAAAACACATTTAAAGTTTTTTTCAGTAAAATCTTGGTTAATGTCCACCAGAAACATATGACTGATTAGTTTCATTTAAATTTTGTTTATCACTGAACCCTTTGGTTATTGATCTTAACTTTTTTCTTTGCTTTATACACATGGTATTGTGTCGATTTTGGCTTTATTTGATTTACACGAGAATTGTCAAACTAAATAGATGTCATTACTGTTATATACCCAGTCAAATTGAACTCTTTTAAAACATCCAAAATACCTTCACTACTATCATTAAAATAAATAACAGCAGAGTAAGTTCCCATTTCAATTATTTCTCTACTGACAAAAGTGTTTTTTGGAACTCTAGACCATATGAGGGCATTCAAGGACTCATTAGGATTTTGTGTCTTACCATGAAGCCATTTAAATAGCAGTTGATTGCCTTGTAAGCTTTTAAAAATTGGTATTAGCAGGTTTTTCATCCAGACTGGAATTGAATTTGATGGTATATACTGCTTTGTTTTACTCCAATACCTGCACTACGCTAGAACAAGAGGGTTGAATAAAATTTGAGGTCTTACAAGATACTCTATTTGGTATAACACAGTTCCATTTTCTATGCTTTTTTTTAGAAAGGTTTTTTTTTGTTGCAATCTTTATATTTTTGATGTAGGTTTCCTTTTCCTCCTGAACTCATTTTTATATACACTAAATATAAAGCTAAAGTTATTAAATAATATTAACAAATATATCTCAGACATAGTAAATATCAAAGTAAATTGATATTAGAATGTAAAAATTACAACAACAACTATTTAAATTGTCACAAAACAAATGTACCTTTAAAGTATAGTTCAAAACTTTACGAATATAAAAAAGAAGCCTAGCATAGCCTAAGCATATTCCATAAAAAAAAAGCTTAGCATAGCCAAGCTTGAGCATAGATTTTAAGGGTTTTTTATTCTGTTGCTAGGGCGTTGCTATGGTCAAAATTTTCAATAACTTTAGAAAAATGCATTTGTAAAGTGTTTTATGTAATTAAACAATATAAGATGGTTATATCAAATGAAAAAGGATAAAATTTGGAAAAAAACGAGTCCAAAAACTTAATTTTGAAAATTTACTCCAAAATCACTGTTTTTTTAGTGGTGTACCACCTTAAGTTTGCTTTATGCGTCTGCAAAAAGTTTGTCTTTTTTTGAATATTTCTAATGTGGTTAAGTTATGTGTGTTTATAGACAAGCCATACCATATTCAAGAAGCATTCATGGAGAAAGATTTTGATCCTACGGAATTTGTGTATATGTTGATCTAAAAAGAGTGTTGAATCTTGGGTGAAACCTAGGATTCTTACCGAATTTACGGATTCCAGATTTAGAATTAGAATTAGAGTTCCAGATTTAGAATTAGAATTAGAGTTCCAGATTAAGTAATTGTGGAATCATTTTCAAATTTTCCAAGTTTAGCAAATAAGATAACTTCGGTTTTGTTTGGGTTAGCAGAAGTCCATTTTCTAAAAACCATTTTGTGACTACATTAGCACATTCAGTGATTGTTATCTTTTCCTGGGTTAATGAAAGTGTATAATTGGGTATCATCTGCATATTGTTGATGATTTGTGTCATGTTTAGTTATAGTACAATATAAGGATAAAACAAACATCGAAAATAAAAATGGGCTAATTACACTACCTTGTGGTACTCCTGTTGAACTCATTGACAATCTAGACTTTGTTAAGCCTATAGAAACAAAGGATTTTCAAAAATGCAAGGAAGATATCAGCCATTTTAGTGCAATATCTGTGATATCAAATTCATCTTTTATACAAGCAATGAGCAGGTTGTGACCAATTGATCAAATGCTGCAAATATGCCCAGAGAGAGAAGAATAGTAATTAATGCATCATCAATGTTTAACAGGATGTCATTGCATATCTTTAAGAGTGTTGTTTCTGATTATACTTAAAACCAGATTGAAAAAGATTGAAGTTTACAGTTGAAGTTACATGTGGAAGAAGCTAAGATAAAGCAAGCTTTTCAAGAATTTTGGATATTGTATTTGATATGTGGCGCAGATCAGTGAGTTTGAATACTATTTGTCCTGATATTTTGGCAATTGGTGTAATTGAATGAGACTGGGAAAATTCAGATTTGAATGAGAGGTCGGCAAGGTGAGCTATAATTGGACTAAATAGTTCTGAACATGATTAAAGAATGTTTGTTGAAATAATATCGAGGAGCAATGTCTTAGGTTTAAGGGTTTTGATTACATACAAATCATCAGTGGAAGTGATTGTACCAAATATAAATATATATACAGAGGAGATTGCTCCATAATAAAATCAGATTTTAGGATTGTACAAGTCTTTCTTTAATACTTTTTTTATACTTTCAAGTTTGCTTGAAAAATATTGACTTGTGTTAAATTTTGCTTCTGGTATTGTGTAACTAAATTAAAGATTATTTGAATGAAGTATTTCTTTGGCAATAATCCATGTTTCTTTTTGATTACCATGTGCTGAGTAAAGTTTTTTCTTATGATAATTACATCTGGATTGGTTAATTGCTTTATATACCTCTTGGCATGCAGTTTGGTATAGTTTTTAATCTGATAAATTACCGGTTATTCTATGACACTCCAATTTACAAGGTAGTAGCAACTCTTATGCATGTTCTCCCTACAGCTCCTTATTTTAGTATAAGGTCAGAGTGCCAATTTAAGTTTGTTTATGTGTTTGTTGTGTATATATATGTATATTTTGTTTAATGTTTTTGTTTCTAAGCTTGTATGGTTCAGACTGCCATTTTCTTATTTAAATATGATATTAAAAGTTAAAGCAATTTTTTTTACAATTGGATGCAGCTGTTCTGTATATTATGACTGAGAATTTTTATTGTGATACTTCCGCCCAGAAGAAGATGATTGATGATAATTTAGAAGAAGACAATTGTCATCAGTATTTTTCCTATCCTTACTTATCTTTACCCACAATTAAGTTGTGAGATTTATATTAGAGTTTTTCTTCTTCTAAGTTGGTTTCACTACAGCTTTAGAGTTTTACCTTCTCTTAATGTGAAATAAATTATTATTGTTATAATATTATACGATGCAATTTATGCAAATTATTATTTTATGTTAACTAAATATAAAAAGCAGTGTTTTATTGTAAGATATCATTATATGCTAATTAAAAAAAAAATATATTAGATTTTATTTAAAGCATAAAAACATAAAAAAAAACTGTGTAAAGCAGAAAAAAAAAAATTTTTTTTATGGCTTTTTATTTATATTTTTTAAAAAACAATTTGATAAAAAAAATTTTTTTCCAGATTTGTCCCTGAGTCTGTGGTTTGGCTTCATTCTAAGAAACGAAAGAATTCAGCGGAGAAAATTCTTTTTGATATAGCAAAATTTAATAAAAAAGCGTGTTTTGAAATTAAACTTTCAAGTTGTTCTATTGATCCTGATGAAGACAAGAAAACGTCATTAAAATATGTATTTACTCCATGGACTGTTTGTTTATCTACTACATTGCAGGTTCTTATTTGGTTAGAAATTTATATTTAAATCTGTTTTACTTTCTAATTTTAATAAAAAATTTTTTTTGAATCACAGACAATCATGCCATATTTGGTTAGTCCTTAAAGTGATTGTCTATCACTTTAAATGTTGACATTTTGTACAAGAGTATATATATATATATATATATATATATATATATATATATATATATATATATATATATATATATATATATATATATATATATATATATATATATATATATATATACAGTGGTGTACACTGGACTTTTAGATGTTTGAGTTTTGACACTTACAGGTATTGTGCAAAGTCCAAACTTTTGTATGTTTATACTTATGTCAAAGGAGAAGGTTTTGCAAAAAGTTGTGGTGATTGGAGCTTGAGGACAAAAAAACCCAATTTTTGGGCCCACCCAATAATTTTTTTAGTATTTTTATCTAAGTTTATATTCATCAACAAATTTCAAATTTCAAACATCAGATAATACGACTAATTTAAACTAATTTAAAACATCAGATAATACGAATTCTCATAATACTTAAATAATTTATTTGAAATTTTTGCCAGATTATAGGCACTGGCATCATCAGCTTATAATATAATATAATTATAAAAATTGTGACTGTTAAATAATAACAAAAGTTTTTAATTTTGGGGTTAGCTTTATAATGGCTTCTTTTACTCAAGTATGAAAAAAATAAAGTCCAACAATTTGTTTTTACAAGGCTTCACTGACTTTTCTTACAAATTTTTTACCCTCAACTTTAAGTGTTTTTACTTTATCCCATTCAATGTTTATTTTAACCCATTCAATCTTTACTTTATCCCATTCAAAAAAAAACTCGAATATAATAAAGAAATTGAAAAAGTGCAAGCCTTAAAGAAAAATGTACTGAGAGAACTTAAAATGGGCAAGAAAATTAATCATAATCTAACAAGAAATCAAAGAAAAGCATTTAAAGAAATTATTCAAGACAAGAAAATTGATATTTATTCATTTGATAAAGGAATAGGATTCGTGAGAATAGAACATGATAAAGCAATTGAAAAAATTAGAGAACAGATTGGCCCAACAAAAATTATTAGTATTGATCCCACTCTAAGTTATGCAACTAAAATAAAGTCTTTCCTTTCAAAGCTTAACAAAAAATGTTTTTCTAATGATGAATATGAAAGCATATATCTGAGTGATCCTGTCCCACCACGTTTGTATGGGCTAATTAAAAATCATAAACAAGACAAATCTTATCTGATGAGAGTCGTTGTATCAACTATTGGCACACCTTGTTATGAAATTTCGAATTACTTGGTTAAAAAAATACAAACAGTGTTAAATAAAAATCCTATAAGGTTAAAAAATTCAAAAGACTTTATTAACAAAACTAAGTCCTGGTTAATCGATAAAGATGAAATACAGGTATCCTTCGATATTGTGAACTTATACCCATCAATACCATTAAAAGAAGCAACTTTAATACTTTTGGATCAATTAAATAAAAGCGTTTCTTACAAAAACTCAACTAAACCTACTTTAACTGAAACAAAACAACTAATTGAACTTTGTTTGTTTTGTTGTTATTTCTTGTGGAACTGTGAGATTCATGAGTTAGAGAATTCAGGCTCAATTGGATTGTCTTTTATAGTTGTTATGGCTGAATCTTTTTTACAATACCATAAGGAAAAGGCAATTAAAATGGCGATGACAATGATTCCTTCAATTGATATTAAATCCTTCCATAAATATATGTAGACGAGAGCCACGCTAGGTTTTCTAACTTAAAGCAAGCGGAACAGTTCCAAACAATCTTTAACAGACAACATCCTTCTTTAAAATATATTTTATTGAAGTTGAAAACAAAAATAAGGTACTTAGGTTTTTGGATATAACTGTTATTAATAATACACAAGAAAAATATGAGTTCAAGGCTTACAGCAAAGATGCTATAACCAATATCCAAATCAACCTCATTCTAATCACGATTCCAAAATTGTAAAAGCAATATTCAACAGATACATACAGAGATCATACTCAATATGCAGAGAAAACCATTAAAAAGATGAGATAAATTTTTTAATTCAAGTATTTACTGAAAATGGGTATGAGGTATGGGTATGAAAAAATGCTTAAAGATATTTTTTATCAGGTTCGAAAAAAATGTTTAGCAAATAAAAATGAAGTTCTATCATAGCCTTCCAACAATCTGTTTACCATGGAAACAATAATTTCTCCCAGACTTAAATATTTTTTGAATGTCTGGGATAAATTATTGTTTCTATGATAAGCTGGTTGCAGAACTGGTTACAAAACCAAAGCTGGTTACAGAACTGTTTTTAAATCAAATGCTAACCTAAAATCACTATTAATGTCTAAAAATAAATCAAAATTACCACGCAACAGCACCCCAGGAACCTATTTAAGTGCAAATGCTCCAAAGTGTATATCAGTGAAACTAAACTTCAAATACAAACAAGGATTCAACAGCACCAATAATTTTTGACTGAAGACAAGTTAGACCAGTCTACATTAGCTTTGCATAAAGTAAATTGCAATGAGGACATTGAATGGGATAAAGTAAAAACACTTAAAGTTGAGGGTAAAAAATTTGTAAGAAAAGTCTGTGAAGCCTTGGAGATACAAAGACATTGTTGTTCTCCAATGTACAGTGTTATGTTTTCTAATGTACGGTGTATCAATGTTCTCCAATGTACGGTGGTATGAATTTGGACAATGGACAATATGTAAAAACAAATTTTTGGACTTCATTTTTTTCATACTTGAGTAAAAGAAGCCATTATAAAGGTGATGTCAAAATTTAAAAATTTATGTTTTATTTAATGGTCACAATTTTTGTAATTATATTATATACTGATGATGCCAGTGCCTATAATTGAAAATTTCAAATAAATTATTTAGTATTGAAAGAATTCGTATTATCTGATGTTTTAAATTAGTTTATATATATATATATATATATATATATATATATATATATATATATATATATATATATATATATATTTATATATATATATATGCATATATATATATATATATATATGCATATATATATATATATATATATATATATATATATATATATATATATATATATATATATATATATATATATATATATATATATATATATATACAGCATGACATCTTTGTTAAAAGTCATTAAAATCTATGTTGTATCATTTATTTTAAAATTTTTTCTCTTAATTTTAAAATTAAAGCAAATCATGAACTATACTATTTAATAAAAAAAATAATAATTGATTAAAATTTTGAAGCTCAACTAAACTGCAGAATCATTAGAAAACTAACATAAATGAAAAAATTATGATTTATTTGACTGATTTATACAGATATTTGGGTAGCTTCTTTTTATTTTGTGAAAGCATTTTTTCACAAAAGAGTTTTTAGTAATTAAAAATCAAATACTTTCGAAGATTGGTCTTTGCGTAATATTTCCAAAGAAGTTGGATGTGGTAAATCTACAGTTTAAAGAGTTGTGTCCAAATTTGTTTCTCAAAATTTAATCAGGAGAAAGTCAGGGTCTGGTAGAAAGTGAAAAACGACAGAAAGAGAAGATCGATTGATTGTGAGGGAAGTGATGAAGAATTGTAGGATATCAGTGAGTCAGATAAAGCAAAATTTAAACCTTGAACACTTATGTAACAATACAATAGTTGCAAGAATAAAGAAAGGTGAAAAGTTTATTTCAGGGTGGCAAACAAAAAAGCCTTTTATAAACGAGCAAAATCATCTTAAGAAATTAAAATGGCGCAGAGATCATTTAAGCCTTCAAATCAATGGAAACGTGTCATATGGACAGATGAGTCACCTTTTGTGCTACAATATCGTAATTGAGAAAGAATCTGGAAAAAAAAAGGTGAACCATATAATCCAGAGTGCACACGTGCCACAGTAAAACATGACAAAAAGATCATGGTTTAGGGTGCATTTGCTGCTCATGGAGTGGGAAACCTGTTCAGAGTTAAAGGAATTATGGACCAACATAAGTACCATTATATTTTAGTTCACCAATTAAAACCAAGTATAATATTATAAGGTTGGAATTCACTGGAAGTTAACTTGTTAACAAAACTAGTTGAAAAAATATGGTCCTTCGTGACAGTGCTCACAACATGCAACTTGGAATTGATTTGGTGGAAGCCCTAGACATCTCATGTTTTATTCATCAGCAGATGAATAAAACATGAAATCCCTATGGATTCTGTCAAAGAGAAAATCTTATCAAAGATGCTCTTTTTGATCAGGTTGCAGTTTGTAATATAATATAATAAGGATAATATAAATAATAAAATAATATAATAAAGAAATGCAGAAGCATCTGTACCCATTTTAACCATTAATTCTGTAATTTTTTTAATTTAACAAATTAAAAAAATTACAGAAAGAATTAGGTTACCAAAATCTCAACACTTTTATTATTAATTCAAGGTGTTTCAACAAGATGGAACAGTACAAACAACTTTACACAGCAGATATTGGGACTTTTGCTTGATTACTGATCCCGTTAGTAAATCAAAATCAATGTTGTTATCAGTAATTAGCCATATTCGTGCATTACATAACTTTCTCGGAAACCTTACAGATGATTTTAGAGTCCAGCCAATGAAAAAAAATGCTATTAAAAAAAGATTCATGAGTAATGTTTCATTAATGTACTAATGAGTAAAGTACATGTTTTTTCCTCAGCTGTTGATCCAAGTTATAAACTGTCACTTTTCCCTGATGAGCAAAAACATTTGGCTAAAAGTTGGCTTTTGTCTGAGATCTTACGAAAGGATCTTACAAAATCACAAAAAGAGACCAATTTGACTAATACGATAGAAATGGATTCATCTTTCTCCGATAGTGCTAATCGCTCAGCAACCAATAAAGATTGTCAGCTATCTACATCAGGTTGTCTGCATCAAGTTTACAAGGTTGTCAGGTTGTCTGCATCAAGTTTACAAATGACAATCGCAAAAAGTTTTCTTGCTTGCTATGAGTCAGAAGAAAGAAAGTAACCCCAAAGTAAAAAAGCAAAGAAAGATTATTGCAATTGCAGATGAAGAGATAAAAAAAGAAATAGATAGTTTTATGGCTGGGAAAAGAATTGGTATATTAGAAAATGAAGAATCAGTGTTAAAATGGTGGAGTGATAATAAGGATTACTATCCTAATATATGCTGTATAACAAGAAAACTTTTATCTGCCCCTGCTTCATCTGTCTATTCAGAGAGACTTTTCCCAGGGGCAGGTAACGTTTTTGATGAAAAAAAGAGCCAAGTTGTTGCACAAAAGAGCAACTTTTATTTTTGCACCACACTATTCTGGAATTTCCAGAAATCCTTAAATTAATGTTTATCACAAATAAAATTACGCTGTGTTTGTTTAGAAACCTTTATTTTTTACTTAAGTTTACCGCAGTTGTCTTGTAGGACAATGTGTATGTTGCCCTGTCAGGCAATGTCAATTAAATCAAAAATCATTGCCCTGTCGGGCAATGATTTTTGATTTAGTTGACACAGTTTTTATTTTATTTTTTGTTAAATTTTTTATTTTTTTAATTTATGCTGGAATTTATTTTTCAACTTTATTTTTAAAGACGTGCGTCAAGTTAAAAAAAATAGTTGAAAAAGAAACTCCGGCCTTAATTATTGAAATTCCAGCCTGAACCGGAATGAATTAAAAATCACAAATTCTGGAACAGAATTCTGGTACATCCCTACTTTAAATCATTTAAATAAAAAATTTCAATTTGAATAGCAGATTTCGAAAGCAAGACAATTTTTATGTTTTCATTTTACAAATTTTTTTTTTGATAAATTTTGGTGTTCATCTCAATATTTATTAGCAAACGTTTACAGTCTTTTCTGTTTCAAATTTACTGCAAGCATATTTAGACTTAAAACTTAATTTTTTTTTTTTTTTTTACTTTTTCAATTAAAATAAAAACTTTATTAAGCAATTTTAATAAAAAATGCTTTTTAAAAATTTTTTATAAAGTATAAAAATTGCTTATTAAAAATGTATAATTTTTAATAGTAGCTTGTACTTTAATAATAGATTAAAATGAATTTATTGAATTTAAAGAGTTGAAAATTGGAATTAAAAAAACCATTTGTTGTGATTAATAAAACGCTTCTTATGACTCAATTTAGAAAACTGTCTGAATATACAGAAACTATTGGTTCAATAAAATATAAGATATAAATATATAGACCATTGGTTTGGCATAGGCTCCTAAGTTTATTATTATTATTACATTATTACTATTAACTTCAAAAAGATAAAAAGAAAAAATAGTAATTGGCTTTTTTTTTAGCAATACTAATTCTTGCGAGTGTTACTATAAAAATTCTAGGGCATTTTCAATCTTTCCAAAATTCACAATTGTTTGTGCATTATATAGCATTAATTATTGTTTTTAGTTGGTCATTAAATATGAATGATTGTCTTTTTGACAATAAAGCTATAAGTGATACTGTTGATTAACATTCAGATTTGTATGATTTACATAACATAGTTCTAAAATAGATAATATTTATAGCATACATGTTTCCATCATAAACAAAAATAAAAATTCAGTCAAGGAATCCAAATATATCAAAATAGTTTTATATATATTTAAAGTGTTTTCAATTTGTCCTTTTACAAAATCAAAGGAGAGCAAATGTTGTGTATGAATCACATAAGAAATGACTGAAGAAATGACTATTTTGAAAAACTTAAGGTGTCAAAGTTGAAAAATGTAACTGCAATAAAATATGGAATAATATATATTGATAAAGTATGACTGATAAAGGTCATGCTTCTTTCATCTTCAAATTATCCACACAAAAAAAATGTTGTTTAGAAATTTTTTTTAAAAACGTCTAAAAAAAAGTTGATGAAGCGCTGGTAACAGTATTGGATTTAGAAGTAAGTAAAAAGTAGGGGGAAAAGTTTTCCCAACTTTTAATTTTAATGAAGTGCTTTCATTTATTTTTTAAACGTGTTATTTTATTATTTTTTTTTAAATAGTTTTTCAATAGTTTTAAGTGTAGAAACATTCGTTTGTGAGTTATTACTAGGTTGCCAATATCTCAGTTTAAAACTTCTTTTATATAGCAGCACATTGCAATCTGTTTATTTCAGTAACCTCACAGATTTTTCTAATATATTTATTTGGGATGACTAAAAGTCATTCGAAATAATTATTTGGGATTATTCCAAAACAACAGCTTTAGCAGGGCGGATCCAGCATTTTTTGGTGTTTGAAATTAACATCCAGGTATTTGGCAAACTTCAAGCACATATATGTTTATAGTTATGTTAAATAAGAATGCTTTGCAAAAAATTGCGATGATTATTTGAACCCCCTTAATTTGTAACCTCTTTAATATGGTCATAATTTTTGAACTCTGAAAGGTTATAACATAAAACTTGAAAATAATAAATATAAATTTTATCAATAAATATAATTTTTTTTAAGAATAATAAAAAAAATATTTTATCAATTTGTTACTCTTATGTTTGGGGCAGAGGAGGCAAAATTTTTTAACTTTTATGTTCCCAGGCTCCAAATATGCCATGGGGTTGTTAAAAAGAATATGAACATGAAATACTGGTAACTTGAGCTTCCAAGGGGCCAAGGAGAATGATTAGACTAAATAAATGTTTGACTTTAAAAAAGTAAAATAAGTGCTCTTGCCTTTAAAGGAACAGAAAAATGGTTCAAGATAAAAAAAGCTTAAGTAAACTGTTGTTTCTGTTACTGAAATCAAATTAGGGCTTTTTTGAACCACCTTGATTTGAAACCTCCTCAAATTGAGGGAGGGTGGGGGGACAACAAAAATTAAAAAATAATATATTAAAATAAATTTTTAACTTTTTTTTGTTTTTAAGTTTTATTTTGTATCTAGTTTTATGATTATATAGTTAATGTAATACTATATACAGTATAAAAGATAATATAAAATGAAGATGAAAATAAGATGAATTACTTTGAATTAAATTTTCATTAATAATAAATTAACAAAATAAAATAATAATAAAAATGTAATAATAAAGTTTACATTAATCTAAAAAACTATGATGATCAGAATATAAAAAACGATAATTTTCATTTACTCAACTAGATTATTAATGTTGAATTGTGGTTATTAAATGTTGTTACACATTTATTATAATTTTTAAGTATACTAGTATGCCCTTTTTCCATTATAATCTTTAGGTTTAGCATTGGACTCGCATATAGTGGCATCACACTTTCATCAGAAAATCTCAGTGGAAATTTATACAGAGATTTCACTATAGTGAGTGGCATTGATATCCCTGCAGGTCTAATAGTGATATTTCTATCAAAAAAGTAAGTGAATTTTATGATATTTTTTTCAGAAAATGATTTGGTTTGATTTTAAACAATTGTTTATCCTAATAATAAAAAACAAGGCCATATAAATAAAGTTTTTTTTTCAAAATGAATAACAGTTTTTTAAGCAATCTTCAAAAATAACTTTTTAAAATTGTATTTTTAGATTTTGAATTAATTGCATTTTGAATATTATAAGTTCCATTTCCTGGCTATCCTGAAAGTTAAGCGCATTATTGTGTTGAATTTAGATTAGGTTGTAGGCGCACAACATTGTTGGCAAATGTGTTTGGGGGACTTACCATTATGGTTTTAGCATTTGTTCCTGAAATCAAAAGTAAGTAATTAGACAAACTGAATATTCTATAAATTACAAGTTATTTACAAATTCGTTTTAAATAAAAGTTTAAATAAACACAATAAAATAAATAGTAAACAGACGTCTGTATACTATTGCTAGAAACCACTGTAAAAAGGTTTTGTCAACACGAAAGCCAAAAATCTCGTATTTCATCTCGAAAACTAGGCTCCACAAAATCTCAAAAATGTATCGCAACTTCTGGAGAATCTTTAACAGTCTCTATAATAAGGGGAAATCTGTTATTCCTCTTCTCTTGCATGTTTCAGATTTTGTTACCTCAATTAAAGACAAAGCTAAATTGTTTGCTATGAGCTTTTCATGTATCTCATCTCTTGATTCCACCAATCACAAACATGTTGATCTATTGCTTGACATTCGTATCACTCCAGCTTCTGTATCTAAAGTGATTTCCTGCTTGGACTCTTCTACAGCTTGTGCCTGGACAGCATACGTGTTATAGTCTTGCTGAAGTGTTCTCCGGAGCTGTTGTCTATATTTTCAAAACTATTTATCAAGTGCTTATCAAAGTTTGTTTTCCAGCCTGCTGGAAAGCAGAATCTGTCATTCGTATTTTCAAAAGTTTTGGAGAGCAATCTTACTCCAACTACTTTCCCATTAGCCTTCTTTTTATCATAAGCTTGGTTTTCAAGTCTTTAATTAACAAACACTTAATCTCTCATCTTGAGTCTAATAACTTATTTTCTGATCATCAATATGGTTTTCAATCTTCTCGTTCTACTGCTGATTTGTTAATGGTAATAACTGATAGGTTTTATCGCGCATTAGATAGGTGTGGAGAGGTTAAGGCTATCGCTCTCAATATTTTTAAAGCTTTTGATAAAGTTTGGCATGGTGGTCTTCTCCATAAGCTCTCTTCTTAGGGTGTATCAAGTAACATCTTTAAGACTATTGATTCCTTCCTTACCAATTGTATTATAAAAGTTGTCTTTGATGGACAATACTCTTCTTTATGTACTGTAACTTCAGAGGTTCCTCAGAGTTCTATCCTTGGCTCTATACTTTTTTAATTTTACATTAACAATCTCCCAGAAGTTCTCACATCTAAGGTAGCATTGTTTGCTGATGATACTATATCATCTTATCAAGACAAGATTACAATTTATTCTTGTCTTGATAAGAAGCCAACACTCTCTGATTGAGCTTAAAAAGGATCTCACTCCTGCTATAGCATGGGCTCTTAGTGGCTAGTAAACTTTAACTCAGATAAAAAAAAAACTTCTTCAGCTAATTGTTATTGCAATAATCTAGATTTTACTATATTTATAAACAGTAATGTACTTGATAAGTCATCAAGCCTACATCTTCTAGGATTAACTCTTACTTCCAATCTTTCTTAGAAACCATATATCAAATCCATTGCAAAATTAGCATATGCTAAGGTTGCATCTCTATATAGTGCTGGCCACTTTCTTACTCTGGATTATATTCTTTATCTGTATAAATATCAAATCAGTCCTTGTATGGAATACTGTTGCCATATCTGGAGCTGATCTTTGAATGATGCCCTTTCTCTTTTATACAAGGTGCAAAAATGGATTGTAAACATAGTTGCTCTTGCAGCCAACCTTTAACCATTGTCATGTTGTCGTAATCTTGCTTGTTTTCCTTTTTTTTTTAAATACATTAATGGGCATTGTTCTAAAGAACTAGCGTCTTTTGTGCCATCCACTAAAATTCATTCTTGTGCTACTTGTAATCTAATAAAGTTTCATCCTTTCTTAGTTCTAATATATAAACATATATAAAAATATGTTTATATATACGACCCTAGTTCCAAGGGCTGTATATATAAACATATTTTTAATGCTTTTCAATGCTTATTTGTCAAAATGTTTATTGTTTAATGGTCAGTTAGACCAAATTATCACCTAATAAATGCTTATTATGGTGATAATTATACTGGTGATACTTCTACTATTAATCTGGATTAATTATTCTAGCATATATGTTAACTCTAAAACTCCCAAGTTCTTTGTTCAGAAGTTTTAAGACTTATACTAAATCAAATCAGCTGCCATAATACAATGTTGGTGAAGGTAAACTTTACTACACCCATCTTATGAGCTGCAAGCTGAAGTAGACTACAACAAGTTTTGATTGCAAATTATGTGTTTTTAATTTTAAATTTTTTAGTCTCTAATTTTACAAATTGTTTTATTCAAATAACAAAAGTTGTTGGGATCCCTCAAAATGGGGAAATCAAAGATGGGAAATTAGGAACCCAACAGCTAGAATGCCTCTCAAATTCACATTATTTTTAAATGAAACTTAATTTGAGAACAATGATGAATGAATGATGATATAAATAAATGATCTCAAAGTTTTATTATTAATTCTTTTATTAAATTTTTTAGAATTTTCACTTCTTCGGATTTTCTTGGGAGTTATGGGAAAGTTTTTAGTTTCTTTATCCAGTATTGTTGTTTATGCTTGGTCATCTGAAATTTATCCAACAGCGATCAGGTAAATACTGTTTCAAGTTTTTATTCAAATTATTTTTAAAAAAAGATTATCCAGTTTGTTTATCTATTCTTAGTTGATGACAATTGATTAGATTTTTTTTTAACACAGATCACAAGGTATTGGTGTTTGTTCTGCATCATATGTTGTAGGTTCTGCATCAGCTCCATGGATAGGTCAATTTTTGGGCTATATCAATCATATCCTGCCATACTTTATTATAGGTGCTTCATTATTAATATCAGGTGTTTTTTGCTATTTTCTACCTGAAGGTAACAGAAAATCAATAGTTCAGCCATTAAAAAATGACGACTTAATATTATGTAAGTTTTATTTTGTGAACTAAAATTTCTATTTATTTATTTATTGTATTATGGTTAGATTAATATCCTAGTTGTACTTACAATTTAGTTGTGCGGATTTTTAAATTTAATTTTTTTTTTTTTTTGTGGATTGATTGTTTGATTGATTTTAATAACTGTGGTTGTTTGATTGATTTTAATAATTTTATTATTGAACAAGGTAAAGTAAAAACTTAAGTTAGTAAAAGGTAAGGTAAAGTAAAAACTCAAGTAAAATCTTAGTTTATTATTCAAAAAACAATACATTTATAAAGTCAAAACAAATATTACGCTGAAATAGCACACTTTATAGCACACTTTACCTTGTACAATAGTACAGTTATTAAAATCAATCAAACAAATTGATTTTAATAAATTATTAAATTAAAAAAAAATCATATCAATCATACAAATATATAAATCATATCAAAATCATATAAACAATATCATACAATCAAACCGAATCAATAAGTATATATACTTTTTCTTTTTTTTTTTTTTAATTTTGATATGTGTAATTAAGTTTTATTTTGATAAAGTTAACGATCTTCTGATTTTTAGGACTCACATGGAACCACTCAAATCGATACCTTTTCGCTATTTAAAAAATCATTGAAAGACAAGTGAAGCAATTTTTAGTGATTTTTGTTGACAGACATTTTCAAACTGTTATTTCTTTTGTAAAGCAATAGCATTTTATTTTTTATAAAAAAGTAAATATATTTTATAGAAAACTTATAATAAGTAAGTTATTTTAATTAATAAATCTATAAAGTAAACTTTCTAAAATGCTGATTACAAAAACAGTAATTATGTTAGGGTAATGCATGTTTAAAAAAGCATTTAAGTATTTGATTACTATATCAGCTTGAAAAAGTTCTCCTGTGAAAAATTTTGAAGGTAGTAGATTGCTTTATATATATATTAGGGTTGCACCGATGCCTACTTATGGCCGATGCCAATACCGATTGGTATTGGCATCGGCCATAAGTAGGCATCGGTGTTTTACAAAATTTAAAAATCGGTGCTGATTACAAAATTTAAAAATAATTTTTACTTTAATTCATATTTCTTGAAAGATAAATTCTACTAATTTAACTATATAATCTTTAAAACATAAATAATTCAATTAAACAACTAATAAAAAAATGAAGTTCTACTATTAACTAAAAGTTTCGAGTAAAAAGCTTATTATTAATACTAAGTGGGGAGGGAGGGGAGGCATTTGCGGAAACGCAAATGCCTCCCCTTCCTCTCCACTTAGTAGGAATAATAAGCTTTTTACTCGACACTTGGTTGGATTAGCCGGTTTTGGTGAGAACTTAGTAGGAATTATTAGTATTGCATTCAGAAACTCGGTTTTAGTTAATAGTAGAATTTCATATTTTTATTTGATGTTTAATTGAATTATTTGTGTTTTAAAGATTATATACTTAAATTAGTAAGATTTATTTTTCAAGAAATATAAATTAAAGTAAAAATTATTTTTAAATTTTAACTTAAGTACAGATAGCTAAAAAATTAATAATAACCCTTCCTAATTTAACTGCTATAGTAGTACATTACAGTGTAACTAATTTAACTTGTTGCCTTAACAATAAAGACGCTGGTTTATAAAACAATTATAAAAAGAACAAATAAAGAAGTGTTAGCTTGTATTACTAGAACATTTAAAAAAATACAATAGATAACGATGGTCAGTCATTTAATAATTTCGAAGGTGCCAATTTTTTATTCGACCATAACTGTAAGCAGTTGCGTAGGAAGGTTGTGAAAGTTGGAGGGGGGGGGGTCTGAAAACATATGTTAAAAAGGAAAAAGTTCCTCAATTTTGTATGATACAACAAAACAAATTAAAATGATCCATTTATTCAACTATTTATCACACGCAACGTGGTCAATCTTCTTTTTAACGTGACTTCTCATCTTTTGCCAGCACACATTCATTTAAAAATAGTATGCGATAGTATTATAAATAGTTTTATGGCTAAACTTTACCTTGTAATGTTTAATTGCGATTGAGTCAATACAGACTGGAAAATGATAATTCCGCTGTTGCTATCATAAAAGTTATTTCAAAACTGTTTAGAAAATGGGGGATGAGGGGACTAAATGCAGTGTCCACCCCCCCCCCCTTCTCTAGTATATCATAATTAGAGGTGTGTCAAATATACCTGACTTCTATAACTGCATTTATGATACTATAGTATCATTAGCGAACAATGCCACCATTATTATCCATTTGTCTTTTATTCGATACAATTAGTCATTTATTCAACCATAACTGTATTTGATATATGATCGACCATAACGTTTATTTGATTTGATTAATCTTTTATTCAACCACAACTCTATCTATAATAAAATTTACAAAAATTATAATGTAATCCGACAACTTAAAGTTCTGCCGTGGTGTATTGGTTAGAGTTCTACCTTGTGAGCTGAAAGTAATATAAAAATCATTATTAGGAAGAAAGCGTAAACTTACTGGTTAAATGCTATTCAAAGCTGCTCTGTGATAACATTGCAAAACAGCGTGATGTTATCACAAATTAAAATTAAAATTTCTAAGCCACCTTGGGTCGCTACGCTAGCAGATAAGAAGCAGAAAAGATACAACTTACAACAACAGACATGTTCATATCAGGCGCGGATCTAAGAGGTGGCCATTGTGGCCACGGCCACATAGTTTAAAGTCAAATTGATTTATTAGAAAACTTATTTAATGTTAATCAAAGATCTTTTAGAACTTTTGGAATTAACTATGGAAATATTTATGTTATTGAAAACGTATATAAACAATTTTAAAACTTGCACATCATTTTTTCGTCTAAGTGACTGTTGATAAACCTACGTCACGCTAAATTTAAATTTCAAAACTTCGCGGTAAACATACCGCTATATTATTTCAAAAATCTCTGCAAAAGAGAGTCAATAATACTTATAAACTCTGCCTGACGTACTTTATGAATGACCCTTATCGGCTTATAGTCTTAGCAATAATATATAATATATTATATATTGTATAATATATCATTGGATCATAGAGATAAAATTTAACGGCAGCGAATTTAGTTTTGGATTTTTTTTGCTAAAGGAATATCTCTCAAAATTTAATTGTATCTGCCGTAATTTACGAAATTCGGCCATAGAAATTCCTGCCATGGCCACAACGGTTCTTATTACACGTTACCAACGTTTTAATCTATCAATAAATGCTCTCAAATAAATAATAAAATATAGATCTTTTAAACGTGAAAATAAAACTTGGCCACACAGTTGGTTTTAACGTATCCGACTCAGAAAAATGTTCTGTTCAAGAGAAGCCAACAAATTAGGGTTTTTTATTCGCTACCGTGAGATCATCATAAGTATCGTTTTCCATAATTCTTTAGAAAAATACAAATATGTTAAGATCAGTTACTAATCTTTAATCAAAAGAAAATCGTAAAAAAAAAAAAAAGCAATCACAGCTAAAAATTAAAAATAAGTTAATAGGATATTTTTTTTTTTTTTTTTTTTCAGTTTACAATTATTAACCGTAATATAACAATATAACAATATATAAACTTGGTATCTGAAAGAAGATCCAAATGATCTTGTCGCCAAAACCATATAAAATATATCATACGTGTATATATAGTAAAATAAAAATACAATTGATCAAATAACTATTAACAATGTAGAAGAAACAAAAATTGAAAATAATTTTATAAATTATCAAGGGTGAAAAAAAGAATTTTACATTTCAAAAATATTTATATATATATTGCCAGTAGAAAGAATATAGTTTTTTAATTTAGTTTTAAAAACGGAAAACGAAATTGACAAATCAAAATTTGGAACAACAATTTTGTTCCATAAATACGGTGCTCTATAGTTTATGCAAAATTGATTAAACTTTGTTTGACAAAAGGGTTCAATTAATAAATTATTATTTCGTAAAGCATATTTGTTTACAGCTTTATAAGTAAAAAGATCTTTGAAATTGGACAATGGTCGTTCACTTTTACAACGAAACATAAAATATTATAGACATTGAGTTCGTAAACGTTAAGTGCTTTAACGTTTTTAAATAAAATATTTGAATGAGAAAATAGTTTAAAGATAATTTAAATTGGTTAGACTAGTTAATAAGATAGTTGTTAAAAAAGAAGATAAAAGAATCTTAAGAAGAATTTAATTCATTAACATCGTTAAGAAGTTTTTGTTTGAGTTTTTGTTTAAATAGAGAAAGTGAAGAACAATTTTTCAGCTGGTTATTTAATAAAGTGTTCCATAATTTAGGACCTCTGATAGAAAATTTAGTAGCCAAATAGTCTATTTTAGGCTGCTCGTAATTGTAATTTGAAAATCTTGAGGGTACACGTGATTAATTATTTTGAAAAGTGTATTAAAAGTTATAGGAGTTAATTTATTATGTAGTTTGTACATAAATATAAGAATTTGATAAAGATTTAATTGAAGAACATTGAAATATGTTCTTTCCATATTTAACGAGAATAAGAAATTTAATAAGAAATATGAATCCATATTTAACGGAATTATTTGCTTGTGCAATAGAAACAAAGCATAGGCCTATGTGTAGCCTAATGTGTTAAATTACAAAACTAGACTCATTAAAGAGATTTTGGAGGTAAATTTAATGTTTCATAGAATACAGGATTCTTATCATGGTGGCATGGTGGGCTTTTAAACTCTTGCTATGGAGGGCTAACCTTTGATAATAAAGTTTTCAGATGATATTGGACAGATGTAATGGTAAAAGTAAAATACAGATGATTTACAGGTGTTGTTGGACAGATGTTATTAGACATGGCAAAAACTGATGTTGTTACCCTTATCCCAAAAAACCTTTGCAAAGATTGAATAGCCTGTTTAGAATAGCTTTGCATAACCAGAATATTTTCGAATAAACATGTAGATAATATGGCAGGTAAAAAGTGAAATTAGATATTTTACAAGTCAACTCCTCATATATGAATTTATTATTACCTATAATACTTTTAAATAGTTTGCATTTTTGAAATATTCAATTGTTTAGAGAGTTTATTTCTAAGGATAGATATCAAAATCAAGTTTTTTTTTTATTCAAACAGAAAGTTATTTCTACTGGGTAAGATTAAAATATGATATTATTTTTCTAAGTCTATGTATATAATACGAATGATCTCTGAGACCTGTCTTTGATTTGATGAATATACAGAAAAAACCAAAAGTAAAGTTACTTACTAAACAGTGGGGAGGGGATAGGTAATCCACTACCCACCCCTCCTTCCTTCACTGGCCAATATCAAATTGCATTTGGCAATTTTAAATATAGTCAGCAAATTTTGACATTTTAAAATTGGCAAATGTAAAAAAGAGTGGACCTTATTTTTTGTCGTCTATTGGACCCCTTTCTCCCCCCCCCCCCGCTCTATCTCCTGCCCACATTAATCATTGAAAAAAAATTAGCTCTCGATCCACGCCTGCATTTAATAAAACATGTTTGATAAGTAAAACGGAATAATTGCATATGTTACTATTTTGTTTAGGTAGGCACTAAGCTATGCAGTGTTGATGAAGAATTTGCTTTAATTCATGACTTTGGAAATATCCAGATAACAACTGTAAACCTAGTACCAGGTTATTATGCCTGTGTTTCCTATGAGCAAAAGTGGTGGATAGGAGTCATTGAAGATATTAATTTAGAAGAAAAAGATGTGCTTGTAAAATTTGTGTGTCCTAATGGTCCTGCTCGG